AAAGCACAGAACGTTGAAGCTTATGGAAAGAAGGATGGACTGTATCAGGAAGGGCCAGGCAGGCAATGGGGGAGCTGGGATGTTCTGACTCATATATAGGCCTTTGGAATTATAGAATTATAGTGTCAGCGACCCAGTGTAATGTGCAAATACCCTTTACAGCGTTTTCATCAAGGGAGTTTATTTTTAAGACATCTGGGATGGGGAGCTCATTCTCTCCTGAGGTGGTTTCTTACACCAGAAATTTATATCCTGGCAGGCTTCTAGTTACGGATCCTAATTTTTTTCTTTTTGGGGGATATACAAAGTAAGTCTAATCTCAAACGCGTGATCTCTTCAAATACTTTGTGACGCATTATTGCCCACCCCGCCCCCTTCTGCCATAGGCCTTTTCCAGATTCGATAGCTCTTAATGCATGTGTCAGCTTATCCTATGACGAAGCACCTCTAGTTTAGCCACACGGCCCAGTTTGCCTATGTCCCTTGTCTGCACACACTGAAGCACAAAGAGCACACCAGGGCAGTCCCAGTCTCTGCCTTGTTTTAGATACTATACTTCTGTTGATACACACTCATGAATCCCTCCGGCGGCCTCATTAACTCATGATGCATTGCCTTTCCCTGTGCCTGAACTGCTACTAAGCATCACATTTTCTTTCTGTATTTGTCCAATTAGAAATGAAACTCTGATGCAGAATATTGTTTTTATTACTACTGCATTTTGTCCTATTAGATGCAGTCCATCACTTTAACTTGTTGAGATCTTTTCGTCATCTGCCATCTGCCATGTTTTCCATCCCACCTAGATCTCTATCATCTGGAAACTAGATCTTCGTCATCTGAGAACTTAATAAGCTGGTGAAACTGTGGAACAGATCAGAGCGTGCCACCAAAAACCCATCCAGATTGTCATGAACTCATTAATTAGCACACTTGAGTATAAAATTTTTAACAAGTTTCAAATTGTACTTATCTGTCCATGAGGGCTGCACAAGGCACCTTGTCAACAGCAGAAATACCAGGTCTACAACATCTAAGAGTCCCAGAACCGTCTCCCTGTTAACAAGAACGACAACAAAAGGAAATGACATTGCTTGAAAACATAGCTGTCAGTACTGATCTTTTAAATGTTTATAAAGTTGTTTTGCCAATCTGTTGCCGAGCAGTAGATGGTATTTTTATTCAGTCCACTTTTTAGAAAATTAGAATACATCTGGGAAGTGTTTTCACGGACAAGGACCTAAGCTTTAAACCCCTAAGTGCTGTGAATGCAGAAACGCCTAGGCAGGTTTGAGAACTGATGGGAATGGCCTGCTTGTGTGAAACCTTCCCAGGAGACTAGATTAGAAGATGGATGACTTGGTATCCTAAGACTAATAACCTGCTCCAGAATTATGACCATAAGACTTTGTGAATCTGAAGCCTCCCCTTATTCAACAAAGCAATATTGCAGATGGGAACAGAACACACCCAAGGAGACAGAGTTTCCTATTATAGCAATGCGTGTGTTGCTCAAATTCCCTTTTATTTCCAAAGGCCAAGGGGAGAAACCATAGACCTCAGGTAACCATGGGTTTGAATCCTGGTTCTCCTGCTTAATAACTATGTCATAAGGTCTATTTTTAGAGGACCATTGCTAGTCCCTAATGAAAAAGAGTTTCTTGCAAATTCTTACAATTAAAAAAAAAAAAAAAATCAAGGTCTGGAATCTAGAATTATCTACAAGCTCCCAGGACACCTGTTCTAGTTTCTTTTGACATCATACCTCTTCGTTCCATAGCATTTATTTGGGATTATAGAGTCAAAATTAAATCCACAGACCATTTTGTTCTTGAGTTATATTCTATTTTAGATTTTTTCAGTACTTTTTGAATCTGTTTTCCCAAAGTCCTTAGCACATATATGACCATATCCAGCTTTTCATTTCCTGATAATCACTGCATTTAAGTGTTCAAAGTAGTTATTACTCATTGAAAGTGGCTTTTATAGACCAAACTGGGACTTTTAAGGTTTCTAGTTTTTGAGACCAGTGCCCCCTAAGGTGTTGGTATGTGTGAGAGCTTTGGTTTGGAGTTTTGGAGAAGTGGGAATTTTCTGCGAAGAGATCAGAGGGAAGAAAAACAAGATAGTAGAGGAATAATTGACACCCATTCCAACCCCCACCAAGCAAGATTACACCCAACGGGCTATGTGGTCCTACAAGAAAGAGAGTCAAAAAAAGTCTGTGTAAGACTCTTGTGTAGAGACATCCAAAAGTCCAGGTGATATACAGCAGCTCTGAATGGGGACAGGGACAGTCCCTTCATTTCATGATGGTGCACTGAGGCCCTTTGAGGGCTTGGAGTAGCACAAGGAGGATATCTGTGCCTAGCATAACTATTTCCCTGGAGAGCTCTGCAGCTAAGAGGATCCTGGAAATGATGGAAAGGAGCAAAAGCAGAAAGATATGAGCAGATAATTTCCCCTTGGGTTCATGATTTTCCAGGGAAATACCTATCTCAATGAAATAGAGTTAAGCTTTGCCTCTTGTTCTAGAAGATTGGATTCTTTGAATTAGGGTTTAACCTCATCTTGGATTCTAATCATGGGTCCCTCTTCCTTCCTCACTTGGTAATGACCACGAGATCATATTTACCCTACTATTCTATGAAAACTCTTTATTATTCTATTATTCTATGAAAACACATGTTCTAAGGACGGTTATATAGATATACCACTGTCTTACTCCATTGTTTTACCGATGTTTCAGCTCTGAGAGAGCATGCATATTTTCTACCAATAGTCAACACTGTATTCCTTATAGTAATTAGGTTTTAAGTGTTTTTATTCTTTTTTTTTTTGTAGTCAACTTTAATTCTTTTTGAAAAGTCTAGTCTTTGGAAAAATAATTTCTTTGATCAAAATTGATGATATGCATGGTTCCATCATTCTTAAATGTTAAATTACTGACCAAAACCTCCTGTTTCATTCCTTGACACTATGTACAGAGCTAGGTATTTTTTTTTCTTTAAAAATTACAAACCTTAGTGGTAATAGGCAAGCACTGACTGTACATCCAAGTTCTTGAGCTTCCCACCTGACATCACAGAAACAAGAGGTACCTCTTAGATTTTCGCTGATGGTATCCCCACGTGTTGGCTAGTGTCAACATCTCCCAGCTTTGCACTTACCGTTCTATACCCTTCTCTTTATCATGGCAGTGGGAAGACTGCAAAATGCATTTTGCAGAGTCCCTTACCAGCTGGCATCCAATGGGGGACAGAAAATGGAAGGTGAGAGGAAAGGAGAAACTGCTTTCATGGTTTCTGCTTACGTCTGTGGCAGTGGAAGCATCAGCAACCATGTCAGGGACAGTAGCAGCAGGGGCAGTAGTGGGGGTGATAGCCACCGTAACATCAGCATTTGGGGCAGAGCAGGGAAGCAAGGGCACTGGTTGAGTGCCAGGTACTGAGGTACTACTCAGGCTGTGTTCCAACGGAAACAGCCTGGATGGCACAGTGTTTATGGACTCTGGGGAAAATCATTTTCCCTTTTGTCCTCCAGCTCTAGGTGTGTTAGTGGTGGAGTGGAATTGCCTATCATTGCATGAGCAGGCCTTTCTTATTTTGCTCCTCTAACCCACTCCAATACTTTTTTTTTTGTAATGTTAATTTATTTTTGAGAGAGACAGAGTGTGAATGGGGGAGGGGCAGAGAGAGAGGGAGACACAGAATCCGAAGCAGGCCCCAGGCTCTGAGCTGTCAGCACAGAGCCGGGCATGGGGCTCAAACCCACGAACCTGATCATGACCTGAGCCAAAGTCAGACGCTTAACCAACTGAGCCACCCAGGCGCCCCTCCAGTACTTTTGAAACAGATTCCTTACATTAAGCTCTTTGTCAAACACCTAGATCTGTTTCTGTTTTCCTGGTGGTGCAGGGACTGATGCACACTGCTATGAATCAGCCCGTGTGTGTAACAGTCAGCAGATGTGGTATACCCTGGAAGGCATTTCATCATATGCTGGGAAAACATTCAAGGAAGATTCAATTGACGATGTCAACTCTGCATTCAGTTGTTCTTTATCTCTCAGTAGAGAATCACCAAACTCTCAGATCCAATGAGAGGTTTGTGGTATCCACAGGCTTTTATAGACTCCTGTGTCTGCCATGTTTATTCCCCAGTCTTCAATAACTTAAATTATTGAAGAAAATGCAGACTTTCTGTGTCTGGTGAGTTCTTTCTTTCTTCTGTAAGCTACACAATTCATCACTCTCATCTTGATGAGATACTCCCTTTAGATACTTAAGAATTTTGAATTTGTGGTTTTCTTTTGGTATTTCTTCTTCCATTTTCCCTAGGAATTATTCATTTTTACAGATAATCTGGCATTCAGATGGAGGATTCAGAAGGAAAAAAGGAAGTCTGTAGTAATAATGCTACTCCAGAGGGAGGGGTAAGATTGCTGTCATGAGTCAGGTTAAAATGCGAGCCTTATGCTGATGACATCAGTGTGGGCAAGATCCTTGTGCCACAGGTTCATTATCATCATATGCAGCCTCTAACCAAGATCCAAAATGAGAATATCTTACTCCTCCAAAAATTAAGAAAGGAGTACTGTCTTGAACAATTCCATAGGTTACCATAGTAAAATTCACGCCCATAGGTCTATATCTAGGAACTGTTTCTTCCTCATTCTGAACAATGTGGGTGAGGGGACTGACTCCAAATCTGGGAAATATATAATGACCTATTGCCCTGGTGGATCTCTTGACCTTTAATATTCAGCCTCTCTGTCTCCATGTAATTTCTTTTCTCATGTCTGCATATAATGCAGATGTAGTAGATTTAGAAGCTGACACTTGATTAGACACAAAATTTCAAAGGAAAAAGATAAATTGTGCAGTCGAATGTTGCCCAGAAGCAGGGAAAGGCATGCAGCCAAATCCATCCTCCCCCGCCCCGGCCCCAGCTCCTTGTTTCATCACATGACGTTGCCTAGATATCAGCTTATCAACAGACTGAATTTCGACCGCCACCATCCCATGAAGAAAGAGACCTTGCAAGCAGACTACACTGAATAGGAGTAGCAGCTTTTAAAAGAGGGAAGTTTATAATACAGGGTAAGTCTTTGAAGCAAATCTTTTTGTTTCAGACAGAAGTTATTTGGTAGATTTTCCCTCCTTGAATTTTCCAAGCATTCTAATCAAACTTTATCAGGTATAGTCCACTTGACTAGGTAAGAAGGATTTCCTTAGCAATAGCCCAAGAAAAACACCCATGAATTGTTGCCACAAGAAAGATCATCAGTCATTTCCTTATGCTAGTTGAGGAAAGAAGAAATCTTTCTAGCTTTGAAGAATATTTATGCTCTGCTCTGCAGATCTGGAAAATGGGAGGAGGGATACTGAGAAGATCTAAGTACAGGATAGAGTGTCAACTTTTATCACAGAGAATATTAAAAGAGTTATCTTGGTTAGTGTGGTTTCTGAAGTGCACATTGAGGGAAGGCAGTATTAAGTACAATATTTATAGTTTAATTTATAAGTTTATAACGTGGAAACAAGACACACAGAGATGTTGGCTGATGTTTTCCTAATAAATTTCTCTTCAGGAAGATCGGAGCCTTAGCTTCATGAATTCAGAAGCAGAGATTTATCACATGTTGAAATACTTCTTCAGCGTGTGTACATGTGGGTGCTTTTATGTATGCATGTGCATGAGCATATAATAAAGGAGAGGAGAGAGAGAAGGAACTGGCATGAAGGAGAGCTTTCTATAGCCATGATCTCAGTGAATCAAAGAACCCGATGGGGGTAGGTGTTGGCAAGGGCAAAGGTATGAGCAGAGGAGACAACACTTAGAGTTCTCACTCCATGCCTTGACGACCCTATTCCAATATGTCTATTACTCCTTGATTATTAATTTTTTATTATTGTACACATCTCAGATTCCAAACCTTAAACAATATGGAAAGGAAAAAAAAAAAGACTTACTCATAGTCTTTTTTGTGGCTCCTTCATTTTGTCAGGTAATTGGCAAGAAATACAGCTAAGTTTAATAGTTTCTTGGACAGTGCAGTGCTGTAAAACTGCAAAATGTACAAGAAAAGGAGAAAAATGTAAAGGAATACTATACTGCCACTAAAAATTATAGGCTTTTTTAAGGGATATTCAATGAGCTGGGAAAGTGCACAACATATAGAGTATCATCTCCCTTTTCTAAAACCATACAAAATGTACACAGAAAAGAAAGAATAAAAGGAAATCAATCAAATGCCACCAATAGTTATGGACCGTTAGATCATGGATAAATTTTCAAAAATGACATATACTGCTTTTAGAGTCAGATAAAGTAATAACTATTATTTATAACTATAAGAAATAACTTGTGACAGGGAGTGGTTCCCCAGTCTACATGTTGCACACACAAGATGAAGCAGAAAGAAAAGTCCTTCCATAAATAGCAGGTGGGAATAGGGAACAGTACAGAACTGAGCAGTCTGGTGAGATCCAATTACTTGGAAACATGTGAGAAAACTTCTTATCCCTTGACATAAATAACATCTATTTATTTGTTTCTTTATTTACTTACTTGCTTACTTATTTACTTAGGTCCCAAAATAGGCTGAACAAAATGCAATTTCATGCTATGTTTGTTGTTCCCTGGAGGCACAGGATAAAGAATGGGAGAAAAACGGAAAAGACAGCAAAAACTTGGGAATGTTCCACGGATTCCTTGCATTCGCGTCCCTTCCTCTGCCTTGGAGACTTCTTTACTGAAGGTATAGCATATCATTCGCTAATGGAGAAAATTTGTAGGTATCTCCTTCAAAGCTTGAGAACTTTTTCTCATGTCTTTGTTTACCCAGTATTTGGTAACATCGTGCCTGACAAAGGCCCTCAGTGCATGTTGACGGCCTGTGTGGTGAACAAATGAGCCCTTGGATGATCCGATCCTATACCCAGCGCATTTTAGGAGCTCTGTGGACAGTCTTGTCTTCATTGCAAAAGCACTGATCGGTGGCGGGAAGCAACCATGTTATGGCTCCCTGCTAGAGAACGATGTTAGTGCCTTTCAGTCAAAGTTATTTAAAGCCATTCTCATAAATACTTTTTGCAAAAGTTAAGTTCTCTTCCATCGCCTCAAGGAAGGATAAGCAATAGGGTAAGAATATTAGGACTGTTAATTAGGAAGCTCAGATCCCTGCTAAGGAAAGGACATAGCATTTTCCCCCCCCCCCCCCCCATGAAATAAAACAATAACTGCTAAGATTTTATCTTCTATAATGATTATTCCCATTGCCCTTTGGAGCTTTGCTTTTGAAACTGGCTTGCTATTTTCATATTACATTGTTGTCTGTCATTTGAAAAAGCTTAATTAAGAATCGATTATCTTCTTCAAAGATATTATCTTTTAAAACATCTAATTCACAAACTGTAAAGTTGAAATGATGTCTCAAATTGAGAAATACTTGGCTTTGCTACCTTCACTCTGGACACATTTTCAATATCAAGCTTAAGGTCTCTAGACACCAGAAAATAAATTTGACACACAGGCTTCAACTCCATACCATTTTTTTTAAGTTTATTTACTTATTTTTGAGTGAGAGAGAGAGAGCGAGCGAGCGAGCAGGGGAGGGGCAGAGAGAGGGAGAGGGAGAGAGAGAATTCAGCACTGTTGGCACAGAGCTCAGTGCAGGGCTAGAACTCATGAAGGGTGACATCGTGACCTCAGCTGAAATCAAGAGTCAGACTCTTAACCCACTGAGCTACCCAGGCACCCCTCCACACCAAATTTCTAACAGATGAAAGTCACTTTACTTTTACATTTGATTCACTTAAATTTAGTTTCCATTACAATGGTTAACCACTTGCTTTGAAAATTCTGTCATTGTTTTGAATTTTTTAGCCTACGGTGAACTTCTTGTTCTTTGATTTTTCTAGAATGCTGATGCCACTATCTCAGTCTCCCCATCTACACACGATAAGCATTGACGATAGATGAGGTATATAACAGAAACTGTAGTCCCAGCCCTTCTTGCCCCTTGCTTGCCCTCGAGGTCAGCCTTCTAAATGCTCTCCCTACCAATGGTCTGTCTTCCCAGAAGCTCATCCTCCACAGCAGGGCCAGCTGCAAAATCTGGTCACATGAAAGGATGACATTTGGGGTTGGATAATTCTTTGTTACGAGGGACCGGGAGGCTGTCTCGTGCACTGTGGGATGTTCAGCAGCACTCCTGGTTCCTACCTACTGACTGTCAGTACCATACATCCTCCCTTTCACCATTCATGACAACCAAAAATGTCTTTACACATTGTCAAATGTCCTCAATGGTCAAAATCACTCCCTTTGAGAATCACGGACTTAAATAAAGACCTTCAATGGCTCCTCATATAAAAGATAATCTTTAAACTTTTTTTAAGTATTACTTTTAAGATTTGAGTCGGAACATTACATCTATAAGGCTTTTATGACCTTCCCCTGCCTACCTCTAAGCCTTTCCCAGCTCAGACTCTATATTTTGCTTGAAGAAAAAAAAAAAAAAGTCTGCTTCCCAATATATCCAGATGTTTTGTGCCCCATTGGAAATCTGTACCACTTTCTCCCACTAATTAGCCTTTCTTTTTCTTCCAGCACAGTGGTTCTCAAATTTTAGTGTGCTTGTGTCAGAATCACCCAGAGGGCTTGTTAAAACCCAGAGTTCTGGGTCCCACTCCCCAGAGTTTAGGCTTCTGTAGATCTAGGGTGGAGCCTGAGAATTTGCATTTCTAACAAGTTCCCAGGTGATGCCAATGCCCTTTGAGAACCAGTATTCTGGTTCTTTGGGGGAATTTCTCCTCACCCTAAGACTCCGATGTTTTGGTCAACTCATTTAGAAAGCCTTGCACAGAGTTTATTTTCCTCCTCTGTGTTCATAGCACCTTTTAACTAATAATGCTGAACCTTTATCACATTACCCATCCACTCATCCAGCTATCTCGCCTGTTTACTGACAACTCTTGGTGGGAAGTTCTCTTGACCCCATTCAGAAGCCGGGTCTATGTCAGGCCCTGTGTAGATTCTCATGGCCTACCTTCTCCAAGAAGGATCATAATAGATAAATAAAATTATAAGATGTTGGAAATCCTTAGATCTCTCTCAGCCCAATACTTTGACCTACTTACTTAACCTAGAATGTTTGCTTATCCATTTTTACTATCACACAGGCCAGTGGAAGTTGTTTAAATAAACTAGGGGAAGAAACTACCCAATTGTTGTTTTCCAATTGTTACGTGTGTGTGTGTGTGTGTGTGTGTGTGTGTGTGTGTGTGTGTATACGTGTGTGTGTATACATACATATATATATACACACAATTTGTATATATATACACACACACATATACATAAAATTGTTATACATACATATGTATGTATACATATATATATCTTATTTCCAAAAGAAGTCAGCTTTGAATACATCACACTCGTAGTCCTAGAGAATTCCACCAACTCATCAAAATCACCTGCTCTGCTCCGACAGGACCTAACCCAAGGGCAGCAGCGCTATTTTTACAGCATCATGAGGATTTACAATTCCAGGCCCCAGTGGGAGGCCCTGCAGAACCGCTATATTCACAGCCTTTGGCACCAGCAGCTGCTTGGTGAGTTTTAACTACCTGACCCAAACCAGGCACCTTAGGGAGGGACTCGTGTGCTGCAGCCGGAAGTCAAGTTTCCAGATAAATAATTCAAGTAGAATGGCCTCCTCTGCCAGTGTGCTATTTTATAACATGGCTGGCAGGCCATGTTTAAAAATGATTATCCCTGACAATACTAAGCAAGGCTTTATGGGTAAATTAAGAGGGCTTCAAGAAATCAGAGTATGGATTGCCATAAAATGTCAACAACTGTCTGAGATTTACAGGCACTTGATCTAGTAGAGATGGCAATGGGCTTAGGCAGATGGTCTAGGCTCAAACCACAGGTCAGCCGTCTTGCTGGATGTGCGAATTCAGAGGCTTGGTTTACTCACAACAATAACAGTTACGTTTCGTGAGCATTTCCCACGCTAGAGACCTTGTGCTAGGAGCTCTACACATATAATATGTAATATTATATATTATACATTTTCTCCCCAGTTCACAGCAGTGGGGAACTGCAGCTCAGCCACGTTATACAACTTGCTCAAGTCGTAGAGTGAATATCAGGGCCGTCGCCTGCACAGATCATGCATTTTCACGCCCATGCTCTGACATCTCTCTTCTTCTAGCAACCTCATGGGATTTTATGAAGCACAAATGAAATGATGGTTGCAAAAGATCTTCACAGACTTTAAGCAACAACCTTGTGAAAGATGTGACTGGCGTTGAGTCTCTTTTCTTCTAGCAAATGACTTCCGTCTCCAGCTGGCCTCTGTCACTGGAAGAGCTTTCTTTTTCTAAGCAGCTCACTTAACATTAGCACATCAACCTTATATTGTTGTTCCTGCATTTGCATAAAAGACACGGTTTTTGCAAATGGTTGAATAACAAGAACAGTAACAATAGGTATGTTATCAGGCCTTCCTATCTGCCAGGGACAGTTCTGAGCACTTTACAAATATTGTCTTACTTGAAACTCAGTCACCTCCATCCAAAGGTAGGTGCTTTTATAACCCACATTTTGCAGAAAGGAAAATTGAGACGTGAATAAGTTAAATCACTTGGCCAGGATCATGTGACCGGTATGTGGCAGAGCTCGATGCAGCCTGCTCAGGATTGCCTGAAGTCTTGCAGAAGCATCTTCTACTAGCTTTGTTCGTAGAGTAAAATTGCATAGAGCCCAAGGAAACCCGAGCAGAGACATTCAGTGTTTAGTGCGCATAAGATCTACCTGCGTGAGATATCAAAATGCAGATTTCCAGACCTAACTCTCTGAGTTTCTGATTAGGAAAGTCTTTGGCATAGAGCCAGAAATCTGAATTTTCAAAAAAGCGTTATTAAATGTGGCCTCAGCCTGATGATTGTGTCGTGGCTGGTCTGCAGCCTACACTCTAAAAACACTGACAGAGATTCAATATATCAGTTTCTGGCTTGAGGAAAATTTTGAAAATGAAGATATGCAGGTCAGGCTCAGATGACTCATGGCCCAAGTCCCCCCCCAACTGATTTGTCATGTTGATCAATGACCATGTATTTTTTAACTTAACTGAATGAGCAATGCAAAAGAAGAGAAGTACACTGCCTGTCTTCAAAGATCCTACAACCTGGGTGTGTTAAACACAATGGTTTCTACCGTGCAGAGTAGAGGAAATTTTATGGATTCATAAACATTTGCAAGGTTGTTTGCTTATTTGTTTTGTAAGATTGTTGACTTTGAACTTTCTCTCATTTCTCTCCCCTTAGGCCACATTACTCAACAGGAAGCTTTGGCTTGTGCTGCTGTGCTTAGAGATTCAACCAAGAGAGCCTCAGCTAAGGTAGCTCCCCAAAGATCCATGTCCCAGAAGCCTTCAGCCATGACAAAAACAGGGCCGTCAGCACTACCTGTGGTTCAACTCAGGGCTAAAAGTGCAGGGCTTGGCTACCTCAGGAACTGAGGTTTTGCACAAGCTCTGAAACAGGTGCTTTGCCCATGTACCCCGACATCTAGTGGGTGCTCAGTACCTATTTGGTGAATGAGAATGGAAAAAAAAAAGTAACTTCTAACACAAACCCCATACCTAGGAATAATGTCTCTCCCACTCACATAAATTTTACCAGCAAGAACAAGTAGAAGGGTTTAAGAGCAGTGGAGCTAAACGTAAACAAGCCTTTTACTCCTCATATAATGTGTAGAGTGAAATGACTTCTGAAGCTTTCCAAATAAAAGCTGCCTTTGAATTAGAACCTTCCAGAGAAATCCCAAGAACCGCGAGAGGGAAAAGTCATCACAGGGCGCCGGGTGCCCGGTCCCCGGGTGACTGCTGAAGCCACCCACTGCAGATTCGGAAAATACACAAACCAGTACGGAGTTAACAGTGAGCGTGCGGGGTGGGTTTCCAGAGCCTATCATCTCAGCAGAAACTGGGCTGTGTATTTCCACATCCTCCTTCCTCTCTTCTTTCCCATCGAGCAGTAACATTTAATTTGGCCCCAAATCTTCTGGGTCTTGCCTGACTCAATCCCTTTGTGTCATCTTGAAACTTGGACTTATCAACTTGCCACAGCTGGGTTCATCTACGGAGCTGGAGTTGATCATGACACAGGCAAAAGAATTCGTGCACGCATCGTTTGCTGGCAGCTGAAGAAACACTCTCAGCAGAACGAGAAAGAGCCCCCAAAGAACTGGTCTCAAGTCTAACCTTTCCGTGGCCTCACTGGTTCTAAGCGAGCACCCAAGACCAGACAAATAAGCAAAACAAAACAAAAACAAAAAGGAGGTAACAATGAATCAAAACAACATACAGTGGTACAGTGTTATACGAGTTACATTTAATTGTTATTTTCATCACTGGTGATTTTTTTTTTCTGTGTGGAAAGTTAGACACCAGTGCTCACATAAAGTAAAAAATTTAAAAATGCCTTTACTTCATCTTTATGCTAAATGTTCAACCCCCCTCCCTCATTTAAATCAGCCAATGACTTTGTCATGCCTGTAAAAGGAGTTGCTTGAGATGGAATTATAGACTTGTTTGACGAGGGATATGCTGACAGTGATCTGGAAGGAAGATGCTGTACCATTAGAAGAAAGAAAAAAATAATCTCATCGATGATGTTCTCTCTGCAACCATTCATAAAGAATAAAGAAGTTTCTTGACCTCTGCAAATCCTGGCCCTGACTCATGTACTCTATGTAGCTTTCCAGTTCTAAGTTAAGAATCATTAGATAGGCTTAAAAGAAGAAAAATAAATGAAACTATAGTGAGCTATAGGATAGCCCTCTTTAAGGGACTGAAGTACTTGATAGATTTAACTTGACCTATACTAGCTTTCCCACTGCTTCCAAAATGGGCCTTTTATCCCGATGAACTTCTTGCATGCACTTTTTAAAATTGAAGTATGGTTGACGCACAACGTTACATTAGTTTCAGGTGTACAACATAGTGATTCAACAACTCTAAGTGTTATGTTATGCATGCACTTTTATCTTAGACTTTTTTTTTTTTTTGATGGGCATGAATATTTGCTGTGTAAGCCTTTGCTAGTGATGCAGAATATTAAGGAGGCCACTTAGGATTCTGAGCAGCATCCCTTGCGTCAAAAATCTCAGAAGCACCTTGTTTCCATTAGAGGCTTCTAAGAGCTAATTGGTAAGTGAATGTCCCAGGCCCATAAAAAAAGGACAAATCTAAGTCAGTGCAGAAGACCCCACTTACTGGCTCTCCCTTCTGAGAAAATAATGCCCTCCCAGTTGAGCCCCACCCCAAAGGCCTATGAGGAATATGACCGATTATGGTGCTAGATGAAAGGCGCTCATTGAGAGAATCCTGAGAAAGACAGACAAAGGGGAATAGAGGATAATCTGTAACACCACAGTCTGCTTATCTATTCAGTAGTTGATGAACATTTGGATTGTTTCTAGCTTTGGACTATTACAAATAAAACTGCTATAAATATTTTAATATAGGAGCGCCTGGGTGGCTCCGTTTAAGCATCTGACTTCGGCTCAGGTCATGATCCCATAGGTTGGTGGGTTCGAGTCCCACATCGGGCTCTGTGCTGACGGCTCAGAGCCCGGAACCTGTTTCGGATTCTGTCTCCCTCTCTCTCTGCCCCTCCCCTGCTTGCACTCTTTCTTTCTCTCTCTCTCTCTCAAAACAAAACAAAAAAAAATGAATATGAGCTTTTGTGTACACATAAGTTTTTATTTCTCTTGGATAGATATCCAGAAGTATGATTACTGGGTCGTATGGTAGATTTAGATTTAACTCTATACACTACTGTCAGAGTGTTTTCCCAAGTGATCATCCCATTTTGCATTCCCACTAGCAATTATAAAAGTTCACACTGCTCCACATCCTTGCAATGTCAGACATTTTACTTTTTTTATATTCTAGTGGCTATGGCTGCTGGATGAAGGTATTATCTATCACTGTTAAGTACAGACCTCCTTATTAGGAACCATAGCAAATTTCAGGGAAGGAGTTCACGATAGGCAAGGAGGTGGTGACGGCAATAATCTTGGAGATTCAATAGAAGAAATTTCAACGTTTAGCAGTCAACGTTGATTAAGCAACTGTCCAGCTATTTTTTAGGGCAGCAAAGACTTGGAGGAGGTGAGGAAGAAGAAAAGGAAGCAACCCCTGTAGGAAGAACTATCCCTGGTTCAAACTGCTTAAACACACAAAACTGGGTTCAGTGTGTCCTCAGTACCTTCTCTCTTTTCCTTGTTTATGTTGCTCTTCAGGTTCAGCAACCAACACTCCACCACCACCACGATCTTTATGCACTGTATTAGTTACTACTGAATAAAAAAAATCATACTAAAACACGGTGACTTCAACAAGATTTACTCTCTCAGTTTCTGTGGTCAGGAATCTGGGCAAGACTTAGTTGGGGCTTCCGGTTCAGGGTCTCCCAAAGATTACAGTCAAGGTGTCAGCTGAGGCTGTGGTCTTACGTCAAGATTCAACCAGGGAAGGATCCACTGGCTATGGTCTAGAGGCTCCCCTCAGTTCCCTGCCACATAGGTCTCTCAATAAGGCAGAAATGGCAATAAGCCACAATAAATCACAAATGGCACCTTGTTTCATCAGAGTTAAAAAACAAAAGAGCATGAGAGGGGGTAGAAGATGGAAGTCACAGTCTTTTATAACCTACTCTTGGAAGTGACATCCCATCACCTTTGCTATATTCTACTCATTAGAAACAAGTCACTAGCTTCAGTCCACACACAAGAGCAGCAGATTACACAAGGGCATGAATACCACAAGCTGGGACCACTGGCAGCCATTGCAGAAGCTATCTACCAAAGCCAGCACTAGGGTGAGGTGAGTGAGGTACCTAGGGTGCAAAACAGAAGGAAACACTCTTTAATAAAAAAAATAATAAAAATAAATAAAAAGTTTATTTATTCATTTTGAGGGGTTGGAGGGGCAGAGAGAGACAGAGAATCCCAAGGAATCTCCTCCCCGCTGAGAGCACGAAGCCAGACGCACGGCTCGATCTCACAAACCTTGAGATCCTGACCTGAGCCAAAATCAAGAGGTGGCCGTTTAACTGACGGAACCACCCAGGCACCCCAGAAACACTTAATCGTACATGACCCCAAGAGTGAATCCCAAACAGTTGCCCCCCAGAGACCAATCCAACTTTAGTCTTCACCCTGCTGCCTTCCACATGCACTCAGTACCTTTATGCTAGCTTCTGACAGGGCTCCCTGCCTAGACACCCAGTCTGAGCATGTTTTCTCAAACTACTGCCCTGTGCTTCATACTTTTTTCTTGCCATGACCCTCTCTTGAAACTTAGCTGATTTGTGTTCCAATATTCCAACATGCTGTTAAGGAAAAATTGATTTCAGATAAGCCTGAGACATTTAATAATTACCTACTTAAATGTTATCTCTAGATGTAGAGCAGTATTTATCAAAATACAATTCATATACCAGACTCACTTAGGATGCTTAAGGAAAATGTAAGTTCCCATCTTCGAACTGGCTCCCATCTTCGACCCAGTGAATCAGAATCAGAGAGGTAGCATTCTAGGTGCTACTTATGTTTACTAAAGTATGATAGCATGTAAGAAGGGACTTCAATAGCCAGAAGGCTTTAGCCTTAATAAACTGAATTTCTGTTTGGCAAGCCTGGCAAAGATTTAGGACCAAAGACTGCATGATAAGAGTGGCTTTTGGGATAAAGATTCTCCATACTAACCTTCAATAAATCACATAAATAAAATGCCAATTATTCTCATTCAAAGCCAGACCAGTGGCATATTATAACAGTACTTTCTACTAAATTGATTTATGGTTCCTAGATTTGGTATTACGAAATATGCATTACCATTCCACCAAAGCGAATCCTGACTTGGTTTTCCCTCCCATTTCCTATTGTGACAAAGGCCATAAGAACAGGGCCAAGAGTTCCTGCACCTTTTCAATTAAAATGAGTTGCTAATTGCATCAGTGCTTGTAGAGGAAACCATTATATTGGCCTCATTGACTCTGCCTTACCCCTTAAATTACAGTCCTGTTGCCTGAAATGTAATCAATCCCTATGTTCGAAATCAATCCCTTGTCTGCCTCCAGAGAACTGTCGCTCATTTTTCTCCACGTTAGGCCTACCATACTGTACCAGTTACACAACGGGTCCAGTCAGGTCAGAAGTAGAGGAAATCCCTGTAGCTATTGGAAATCACAGCTTAGGAGCAGGGTCAGAGGCTTTACCCAATTGTAACTAAGCCAAACATTCAGCTATATGGTGTGAGTTCCAGCATCCTCCAGGCCCATGGGGCGTGGTTCTCTGAGGGGAAATGAGTACCTGTTTACAAACAGAGGGTTCTAGAGAAAGACACCTTCCACCTTGAAAATAATGTAATGAGCCCAGAAACATGATCAAGATGGCTTGACAAAGTATCATAGAAACCCAGTGACGTTTCAGAAGCCCGGCTTTGTTGAAGGAGAAAAAATAAATAAATACCACTGTAAATATATTACCTATTTAAATTCTATAAGTGATTACAGTATGTGCTGCATTGTATATTTATGTAAATAAGGAAGAGCAGAAGGCAAAGTCCCATAAGTCCAGGGTTCTCTTTGAGGCACAAGGTTGGAAAGGAAGGGGTTGTGGAGAGAGGGAGGGACAGCTGCCGAGAGGTCAGATGGTGTGCTAAAGGCTGGGAAAAGGTGCAAAATGTGCCTCCATTTCCTAACTGAAGGGCCAGCTTTTTGCTGAGAGATACGTCAAATGGATTGTGACCAAGATCATGGAAATGGTGGTCAAGAAACACATGAAACCAGACCAAGAGTTAATTAAGATCGAAAAAGTCTACGTATAATCTATGTAAGTTAAACGAGCTTTAATTTTGGTAAGAAAAAGGTGTTAAAACTCAAGGTATCAGTTTCCTTCCTATGAAACAGGAGAAGCGCATACACAAAAAAAGAAAATGATTTTCGTCTTTAGCGCAATTCTGAAGGCAATCTACATGATTGAAACAAGTAAAAAAAAGTTTTTAGACTTTACATATTATTTCAAAGTTATAATTTTATGATTAACTGTCTCATGGTGAGAGGGCAATATTAAGTCATCCTTCTTATGTCGTTTATTCATTTACAGTACCTGAGAGCTACTGGAAATAATATTTATTAACTGTAACATTTACAAGCAATTAAATTTGGCGGCAGTGCAGAGAGAATATATATTTTGTGCTGGAAAATAACTCTGGGAAGAAATTACAGCTTGGTCATGGAGACACTTTAATAAACTTTAATTGGTAAACAGTAGGGAAGCACTGGTGGTGTTTTTAGTAGGCGCTTGGCCTGAGAACTGATTTCCAATACTGAGCAGGATGAATCCGAGAAGATGAGGAAAGAAGCAGGGAAATGACTCCGGCATCTGTCCTCATTTTCCAGTAGCAGAAAATAGGAGGACCAAACCCAGGAATGAAATACAGGGAGAAAAACCAAACGATCTGGTGGCAGAAGAACCGGGGACTCAGGCTGGGTGTGACAGAACAGACCAAAAGGACCACTGGGAGACCTGGGGGAGAAGCACAGGGCCAACAGCCCCAGGAGAGCTGATCTGAGGGACAGTGAATTATTGTCTGGTTTTGGACAAGTTGAACTTCAGGTCTCTGCATTCTGCAGGTATTGGCAGGGGGTGAAAAGT